AATGGTTTACTTTCTAAGTTGTGACTTAAGTTTACTCAATAATTAGTTAAATGTGGCTGGATAATCCGATGTACCGGTCATTATACATCGGACATTTCATAAAGATCAGTAAGAAGTGTTTGATGATTTCAGACATCAACTAGCATGGAATCACCATTCACAAGAATAAATTCTTTCTGGATTTTTGATTTGGTTTAGTTTTTCAAAAGTAAGGAATATAAATCCTAAAATATCTCACAAGAAATAATGAAATACTGAATATAGAGTACTGCCTTCACTAAGCCATTTCAATGAACACATACTAATTGTTGGTCAGGTCGAGTAATTAATGGCCATAAAACGACAGGTCAGTCAGATGCAACGTAGAACTTCGAACGCAAGTACATCAGTTCATGTTGCCATACCACACATCAGCACAGAGATGTAATTGTCAATTCAATTCAGGGTCTCTAACCATCGATTATTATCATCTCGCAGACCCCAACCAGGTAGTCGACAATTACCGACATGACTCAGTCCACCCGTCAATGACTTCATGGACTGCTGCCATGTTTTGGTCTGGCCGCCCCTAACTTTCTTCCAACCTACTCCTACACTTCAAAACAAAGCTCGACGAGGCAGTCGGTGGTTAGGCATACGCAACACATGTCCCAACCACCTCAACTTATGAAGTTTCACCACTTCATCGATTGATCTGCCATCCTTACATAGCACTCGTTTACTAACGACAGCATTGCTTACTCGGTTGTCCCAGGATATACGAGCAATGCTTCGAAGACACCTATGATCGAAAACCAGTAACCTACGAATATCTTCTACTTTCACTGGCCATGTTTCACAGCCATGAAGTAAGATGGAGCGAACTACTGCACAGTACACTCGTCCTTTAGTCAGCAAACGGATATCTCGCCTACGCCATAAGAGACGCAGGTTGACAAAAGCCAATCGAGCCTTCTGTATCCGTGCTGAGATTTCGTCAGTCACCAGGCCGTCAGCACTGATGAGACTTCCGAGATAAGTGAAGCGGTTAAAACGTTCGACTACTTCACTCCCTATCACGACAAGTAATTTAAACGTGTCTATAATAATTAATCAGAATTATATTTAAAAAAAGAATATAGTGTAATATACTTACCGAAGAGTTAATTTGTCTGATGTTGTGAAGGGATATTTCTGAAGAGTGATTGGATGTCATTTTAGGAGTATATTGTACACGATTATTGAATGCGGATGGTTTAGGTGCTAGTGGACGTTTAAATACAGAATTAGTTCCATTATTCACTACGGCAAGTCCATTTTGTATACTTTTAAACGATAATGTGGGATCTTGACTCTGAGAAGCTAATAAATCAGCCAGATTAACAATAGGTAATGGTTCTTCACAGCTATTCAAGTCAGGATATTGGAATGTAGGAGCTTTCAAGGAAAAAATTGCATAATATTACGTAATATTACGTCAATTAACCGAGAAAAAAAACAGTTATTAGCTAAATAGTAACTGAAGCGAATTAATAATTGGTTGTGATTTAAATCTGTTAATAGGTGAATATAATGTGAGGATAAAACCAAATTACGCAAGCATAACCAATATAGTGAGAGCTAAATCATTAGTTAGGGTGATATGAACGAACATGACAAGATTATCGATAAATTTAAAAAAAAAAATGGGTGCAAATATTTCAGTCTCATATTTTAAATTCATTTTTATGGTGTTCTAAGAATTTACAATGAAAATATCATAATTAAGCGATTCAGTTAAAATATATAATACATGTTTATTATCAAACTGTCAAGGATAAATCGATTTTATTCCTTGACCTGAGAGTAACATTCGACTTTATTGAGTGACAAATCACGTGACTGAGAAAACTAACCATTAAAAGATACTTACTGAATTCAGCTGAAAAACAACCAAGAATGATAGCACATTAGATGTCTAATTCGTCCTTCTATCGAGATCGTCATTAATGAGCACTTAGGACTCTAATACAGATGGAAACCAGGACAATCAAATCTTTCAACGAGTGATTCATCCAAAGACCATTAAGTTTGGACCCGATAGTTTACATGTCTAACTTCAGTTAGATCACAATATTCCACGATCAATATATTTATTATCACTGATAATAACATTAATTTATGCAATGATGTTATCAATGTTTGATTTAATAACATTAATTTGAACTTATAACCAGTAAAATATCTATTCAGAAAATTTATTACTTATTCTAGGACTTGTGTTTAATTTCGACTGATATAATAAAGTCATGCAGTAAATAAATTTAATCTGAAATATTTGTTCAATATGAGTTCTGTTTGATGTGAATAGATATAATATGAAAAATAAACAACAATTTGAAAGTGAAATATGCACGACAAAATCTAAATAAAGGAAAATACATAACGAAATTAATAAATTCCCAATGGTTACCTTCAGGTTTAAAGTTTGATTGTTTAGAGTCTCTTTGATCAGATGATGGGAGTTTTTTAAGAAGAAGTGGAGGATAACGCATGCGAAAATCTTTCATTCCCATAATCAGTATCCTCGGTTCAACAGTAATAGCTTGTCCTGCATCCCACTACAATCAAATAGGAAATGAAACTTGTACGATAATATCAAGAATTTAACAAATAAATTCACAGTATTTATACTTTAGATGTAATTTCAAGAACTATCGCGTAAGAGTATTATTATTTGTATTATTATTATTCCCGACCGCAGCTGCTACCTTGACGTGGTGGTGGAGCTTGCCTATCGTGATGATCCAACCGAGCTATATCGGTTGGAAAATATGTTCCTGAAGGTTCAACCATGCCAGGCAGGTCGATTGGAGAACGATGAGACTAAAAGCAGCTACTCAAGGTCTGAGGGCGAAGTCGTACTGCTGATTACTGCGGAGGGGTGTGACAGCAGTAAGGTGTTTCCCTCGGACAACCAGCATCTGCAGCGATGCTGCTTTCTCACAAGCAAGGAAGGGGTTAGAAAAGGTCGACCCTAAAAAATGCTGCACCTCACCTTACCTCACGGATTTTCGTCTCCAGTAGTAAGGGCTTTTAAAAAGGACGGAGCTAACACTTTAAAAACAACTCATAAAAAGACCTTGTGTGACCGGCCTCAAGCAGTTGTCCCCTGGACTTTGCGGTTATGCTTCCAGGTCGTTAAGACCGACACTAATCTACCTTCGTTTTCACGTTCCTGAAGAAGCTCCTTTCCACGGTGTGGGCAACCGGGAAATGATATCCGCCCTCATACCCGTAACAACACACGAGATCAAATTGTTCATAATCAACTGCTTCCTTATTATTACTATTATTATTAATATTATAATTATTATTATCACTTAAATACAAACATTGGTACAAAGGGGCACAAATTATTGAATTGGTGAGTAGGCTGGGGTACTTCTGGGACAAAGGCATGGGGCTTTTGCAGTGGACCATACCCTGAGCCTTTGACCCAAAAGTTTAATCAACAATGCAGTGAAACAACTTAAGGAGTCCTATGGTAGACAGTGACCAACAGTAAGTCCATACGCCATTTGTTCCAATAGGATCCCGGACCCTATGTACACACTCTTGACAGTACCAAATCATCTGGAGGCAGGTAAGAGCATAAATAAAAGTTAGGTACGAATATTGCATATTCTTGAAGACTAACTTAAAAACTAACATCCAGACTCTCGTCAATAATCTTGATCTTCAAAAAACTAGAAGGGTAGTAATACGTTTAGGCGATGAAACTAAAGCTGATAACATATGGTTAAAAATCATCCTTGGATTACTTTAGACATTTACGAGAAGATTAATCAAGGTTTAAGGTCCTGATGAATCAGATTAGAAGAGAGTTTAAATATACCAATAGGAAGCTTACTAATCAATCTCAACCATATTACTGCTTGAGATGAATATTGTTATTTTTCGATAGAAAGGCGTGGCCTACAAAATGGATAATTACTAAATGCATTACAGTATGATGATCCGATCAAATCGCTGACAGATGTTTTGATAAGGTAAAATTATCGAATTTCAACTTAGTGACTACATGCTACTACCATCTTATTAAACATATCACTTGAGCAAGTAGCGTTAACGATATACATACTACAACATGCCTACAGTTAAAATTTAAACGAAAAACATATCTGAATTAAATCTGGATTAGAGAAAATAGAATATTAAATATTCGATTCAATCTGTCATTCAAACATCTACTATGTATTGTAAAACCAATACTCCCAAGTGTAAGCAACATATTGCATGCATTGAAAAGTAGCTAGCTATATGCCATATATACATATATAATTTCAATATCAATGATTCATACAAAAATCGATGAGAGTTTCATTTATCAATTCAGCAAATATGCGTAACAAAACATAAATCTTATCACAATTATGATAAATATCATGAGTGATAAAACATTTAAATAACTAAAAACAAACGTTTTGCTTATTTCAGTGTGTAGATTATTTTCATCGTACAAAATAAAACTGTTAAAAATAAATAAGTCAGTCAGTCAGTCAGATGCAACGTAGAACTTCGTACGTAAGTACATCAGTTCATGTCGCCATACCACATCAGCACTGAGACGCCACTGTCAATTCAAATCCAATAGTAGAAGAGGTAGTAAAGGTATTAGAAGTAATCGGAGAGGTTAGGATTAGAAGATATTATTCAAGAAGTATGATTCAATGAGATAAGTTTAAAAAGTCAAAACTAGAGGTGTTGAAGAACCCAGAAGATTAGGATTTGAGAGAACACAATGAATAAATGCACCTGAGCCACTGCGGACGGTTTTGAACCATGTCATTCAGGGTCTCTAACCATCGATTATTATCATCTCGCAGACCCCAACCAGGTAGTCGACAATTACCGACATGACTCAGTCCACCCGTCAATGACTTCATGGACTGCTGCCATGTTTTGGTCTGGCCGCCCCTAACTTTCTTCCAACCTACTCCTACACTTCAAAACAAAGCTCGACGAGGCAGTCGGTGGTTAGGCATACGCAACACATGTCCCAACCACCTCAACTTATGAAGTTTCACCACTTCATCGATTGATCTGCCATCCTTACATAGCACTCGTTTACTAACGACAGCATTGCTTACTCGGTTGTCCCAGGATATACGAGCAATGCTTCGAAGACACCTATGATCGAAAACCAGTAACCTACGAATATCTTCTACTTTCACTGGCCATGTTTCACAGCCATGAAGTAAGATGGAGCGAACTACTGCACAGTACACTCGTCCTTTAGTCAGCAAACGGATATCTCGCCTACGCCATAAGAGACGCAGGTTGACAAAAGCCAATCGAGCCTTCTGTATCCGTGCTGAGATTTCGTCAGTCACCAGGCCGTCAGCACTGATGAGACTTCCGAGGTAAGTGAGGCGGTCTACACGTTCGACTACTTGACTCCCTATCACTATTTCAGATGCCGATGAAACCCAATCTTGAAGCAACATTTTGCATTTCGAGGGGGGAAGCCGCATCCCGAACATGCTTGCATTGTTGCTTAGGGTGGTCAGAAGACTCTACATTTTGTCAGCGTCTTCACCAAGTAGGACAATGTCATCGGCATATTCTAAGTCAATAAGCGAGCCACCTGGTAAAAGGTCCACTCCTGAAAATTCAGACGAGGATAAGGTTATTTCTATTATAGAAAAAATAATTAAGTTGAAATACGATTTTATCATACCTTTACAATAGCATCTTTAAGAATTTGCAACGGATGACTTTTATTGATAACGCATTGATCAGAATCGAATCCATTTTCATCCATTAATATTATACCATCGAATTTAGATCGACAATCCCAAAGTTTTTTAAAGAAATTATTCTTTTGTAAATACATAGAGATATCATTAACTGTAGTACTAAAAAATTTTTACAAGAAAAAAAAAAGAAAAAACCATGAACAACCTGAACAACTGACAAAATGTACATAGATGAACACAATAGATTAGCAGACTGAAGCAATATGTTATGGCTATGTCACTACTATCAACAATACACATAGAACAACTATGAAATTCTAGGTTTAGGAGACTTTGAAAATACCAGAGCCTCTAGAAACATGAAATTGAAATCAATTGGTCATCTATAAATACATTGACATCCAACCACACGAAATAAGTCAGTCAATCATAGAGGGCGATCAATTCAAAAACAAGGTCATCAAAACAAACTGATATAACAAACACTCTTTAAGGAATAAATGAAAAGTTCACTTCTACATGAAATAGGAGCCGATAGCTTTAGTTCAGAATAACAATGAAACAAACTCCGCAATCGAAGTATTTAGCTTTGAGAGAATAACACTACTAAGGTTGTTTATGTTACTTTAGAATTATGTTATTTCTTCTACACACACACACACACACACACACACCGAGAAATCAGTAGTATTTTGCTTATCTGTTTATAAAACATTCAGGCATAATAGAATAGGGCACCAAAATAATGTGGCACGTGAAACCTTGAATAAGTAAGAGAAGGAAAAGTTACAAAATCAATAAACGAATAAACAGCCGGTGTGTATTCAAAATTGTAGTTTAAACAAACAAACATTTATTAGAGTAAATTTTATTCTATCCTACTAAAAGGTTTATAAGTTTGATGAAGAAAACAGTAGCATGATTAACACCTTTACAAATAATGTTTAGAGTCATTGAATCATTTTTTTTTATTTATGATATATATTGAGTTGAAATGGGGCATTCAAGAGTCAGTCAGTCAGATGCAACGTAGAACTTCGTACGTAAGTACATCAGTTCATGTTGCCATACCACATCAGCACTGAGACGCCATTGTCAATTCAAATCCAATAGTAGAAGAGGTAGTAAAGGTATTAGAAGTAATTGGAGAGGTTAGGATTAGAAGATATTATTCAAGAAGTATGATTCAGTGAGATAAGTTTAGGAAAACAAATGTAGAGGTGTTGAAGAACCCAGAAGACTAGGATTTGAGAGAACACAAAGAATAAATGCTACTTATACATACTTATCAACTATTTCCAATGGACTAACACAAAAAGCGAGTGTAGGTAAAACTCTTCAGTCTTGCACAAATAACTTGTAGTTTGAAAATGCAAAAACATATTTCTTAACTTAAGGATACTTAATTGTCAACTAATTGAATGAGATATGAATAACTTGTCGTATTAGCATCTCACAGTAAGACAATATCATCCATATATTGAAAGGTATTTTTCATTGCAACGAATTTACACTACTAATGAATACTTTATTCAAAACTGCTTTTAACACGTTATCAACGGTGATAAAATCAAGAAACCATGCCAACATCTATTTTTGATTTGGAACAATTGAAAAAAAACAAGTGATACTTGCAACAGGAAAACATCGAGTTTCGTAAGGCAATAAGACGAAGATAAGACTAACAACAGATGACGATTTTATTCAGCCTCTAAAAAATACAACACTGCAATCCCTTTCACTAAATACACTTACTTATATATTGATTTTACTGACACTTACTTAGTTAACGAATATCAAGTATAACCGAAATAGGTGAAATACAAAAACTGGATTTTGTGCAGGATTAATGCTAAATACACGCTACAATGATATCATAAACCAAATAAATGCTCAAATACTACAAAGAATATTACACTGAATAACTGTCAAGTCAAATTAAAAGTGGATGGAATACTGAACACTTTATCCTGTCCATTTATTCTTTATGACCTACTATCATACGATGGAAATGAAGATAAATGTTATTTACTTTTATAGTTTTATTAAATGAGGAAAACATCATATCAAATCATTCAGTCAATTATATGAAGTGTAGGATTCAATAGTAACTGTATATGGGATCCAAAACGAAGCACCCCATTATCAATGTAGTGCGAGAAGTAAATAAGATGAGAGAAAGAGAAAAATGGAAAGTTAAACACAAAAAATTCTAATATAAAAGAAACCAATGTAAGAAAAAAAACTGAAAAGGGCAGAATGATATTGAACTCAAAATCTAGATGAAGTTCGTGAATCAATACAATCAAGCAACTATGGCTGACTTTCACTCATAGTTTTCAATGTCTTCAATGTTAATTATGAATATAGTGTTAACCGCATTTAGGAAGCTTGGATCTTTGCTTAGACCAACAATTAACGAATTTATACTGTTTCAGATTATGTGTGCTTAACATTTTGTGACCTATTGCTAAGTAAGACGACATTGTTCATTGGGGTAGGTAATGGCTGCAGACATGTATACATATCTTAGCCACCCTAGTTGAAAAGGGGTTATAGCTTCATTACTATGGTTGTTTTTTACCTAATAGCTTACTCATAACTTTCAGTATTACTCTACTGGTGGTCTTGTTATACATGAGCAATGTTTCAAAGACACCAATGACGAAATACCTGCAATCAACTCATGCCTACCACTTTTATAGTCCATGTTTCATAGCTGTAGAACAATAAAGAGCCAAATACTGAGTACAATATTCGCTCCTTGGTTGGCAGATTGTGACAAGAATTAGTGAAAACCATAAAGGTTTCTTGTTGATAAGCTTTGATCGACTGGTTACCCTTAAAACGTAACGCAATCTATTAGAGAGGAGCTATCATAGGTTTTAGTGAGAATTTATTAATTCTGAAAGCAGAAGTGTTCTCAAGTAGGAACAAAACCCATAGCATCAATGAGTAAGTAAAAAGAAATTTAAATTATTAATTAATAGAAACAACTTGATGGTTTAAAGATGAACGTATGGCTCAAACACAAGCACGTGACATCGATTCATCCAGTTAATAACTGGAAAATTCCTTTACTGATTTTCATTTGATTAGACAAACGGCATCACTAATTTACACAAAAAGTATGTGTTGTGTACGCCACGACTGTGAAGCAATTAAACTGGTCAACTCAATTAACACAATCAAAAACAACTCAAATTTGCAGTACCCCATGCATCGATCCATTACCAAAACCCCTAAACAATCAAAACGATTACAAATATTGCCTAAACTTGGTTTGTCATTGCTATTGATCATTAGTAGTCGAAAATGTGAGTATACAATAGGTAACGATCGTGGACAGTGAGAAAAGGAAACAAGGAATGCCATTATTAGGAAGCCGAATTCGCATTTTCACATGCAGATTAAAATTGTCAGAAAAAATATCTAAAAGGCTCTATTCATCAGAATTCGGTAGCACTTTCAGGATACAGCCTATTTATCTGAAAGGGTTTTTTAGAGATTATTTTAACTCTTGGGTTGTGTCTATCATATACTGATTGCGTTCGAGATACTATTGAAAACCAGGGAGCATCAGACAATTGTTTCGTCCCAATATAACATTTCTCAGAAGTGAGCGTCCACCACCCCACCAGGAGTTGGATTCAGGACCTTCAAGAGATAATCCGCGATGAAGAATACCTAACAACAAAATGAGACTTGGGATTTGAATAGATGATATATCACTACTTGACTAATACGCTACATTAATTAATCAATAATCTTATCATAAAGTATGAAGAATATGAATTTTCAAAAAAAAAAAACTTGGCAACAAGACCTAAAAGTGTGTAAAAAAAATTAAAACATAACAATGTTTTGTAATATTCCTTGAATTTTTGTCATTTGATCAACAATCGAGTTAATGATAAGAACTATCGTTTTTTTAAGGAATTAAAAAAATAGTGTTCATGAAAACAAATCAAAGATTATATAAATAAAATACCTACTTCAAAAAGTTCATATAAATTTCTGTTTAAAAATACAAATAAACGTCATGTATGGCGTTAATCAATAATAATATACCTCAATTGAATGAATATAATAAGGAAATAATAATTGCATCTTGATTACTTACCCACGTTTTATAAAATCATAAGGTAAATTGATAATATTATCAAATGCAATATGACATTGTTCAAATTCATTTTTTAAACGAATATCAATCAGTAAAAAATTATGTTGTTTTTTAATAAGACCTGCTAATTCATTTGTTTGTATCCAAGATGAATTGATTGGATTGGATGATTTATCTAATAGTTACAAAAATAAAAAAACAAATCTATATTATCTTTAAAAAAATATTCATTACCTGGTTGTTTGTGATTTTGTTGTTCCAGTTCAGTGTTTTTTTCTACATTCGATACATTTTGACGATTTAATTCTTCATATCTAGCTTTCAAACTATCATGTAAAATTTCTGTACGTTCAATTGAAGAGAGTAATTCATTTTTCAACATTGTCTTTATATGAAAAATGCAATAATTACTAAACAATCATAACTTACAGAGCATTTATTACCTGTTACACGTTTTAATTTTTCATAATATTCAAAATATTTCATAAATAATACATAGGCACGTTCTTCATCATGTTCCCAAACTTCATTAGCTCGACATCTTAATAAAGACATTTCACGTTGTAACACTGATGGTACATTGGATTTGATGTTGATTTTTGATAGTTTTTTCAACTCCTCCATAGAATGAGCTACATATAATTTTTTCTTACTCATTTTATAAGTAGCATAAAAATAAATCTTCTGATAAAAATAATTGATTAGAGAGAAATTCTAAATAAAGAAAGAAATAATAACGAAAATAAAATGTAACAGTTTGTACAACTTCTCTCTCTCTCTCTAAAACCCTATAAAACAGTTTCATGAATATATATATATATATATATATATATGTAGGTTCGAGGAAACTAGAAATGCTATTACATTGCCGATTTAAAAGGGAATGGTGTGTAGGGCAGAATGATTCAACGTATACAAGATTGATAAAAACCTTGCAAACAACCAACCTAATAGATTACACTTATTGATTAAAGACCTGTCTATCTACAAGCGTATTAATGCTACCGATTATGAATAGATACTTGAATGTGTTTCCAATCAATCATAATAAATCATTAAAATTAACTCATGTAGGGATACCGATCGGATATTCGAATAGTATTTAGCAGAGAAAGTTAAAATCTAATGAACTATAACAGCTGATAAATAAATTAACAGGTCACTATACAACTTAAAAAAGTTAGATCATACAGCTAATTAGGTGTAGGAAGGATTTGATTTCGACCAATTCGGTCTCGTATGCTGTTACGGGTATGAGGGCGGTTGTCACTTCCCGGCTGCCCACACCATGGAAGGTCGTTTCTTGAGAGACCTGAATAGGAAGATAGATTAGTGTTGTTCTTAGAGACCTGGGAGCGTGATCGCAGAGTCCTAGGGACAACAGCTTGAGGCCGGTCACGCATGGCCTTTTTATGTAAGGTTTTTGAGTATTAGCTCCGCTCTTAAAAGCCCTCAGTGGGCACCCTTACCCAAGGAGACGGAAATCCGTGAGGTAGGGTGAGGTGTGACATTTTTAGGGTCGACCTTTTCTAACCCTTCCTTTCTTGTGAGAGAGCAGCATCGCTGCAGATACTGGTTGTCATAGGGAAACACCTTACTGCTGTCACACCCCTCTGCAGTCAGCAGTACGACTTCGTCCTCAGACCTTGAGTAGCTGCGTTTAGTCTCATAGTTCTCAAATCGACCTGCCTGGCATGGTAGAACCTTCAGGAACATATTTTCCAGCCTATATAGCTCGGTTGAGTCATCACGACAGGCAAGCCCGACCACTACGTCAAGGTAGCAGCTTTGGTCGGGACAGCTAATTAGGTCATTTAAATGGTATGATTATCTGTACCTAATCAACAGTATATAATTTTAAACTAGTCTTTAGTAAATGGTGTGTGTACGTACTTTTTATGCAGTAGAAATCTTGAGCTATTAAATCCATTAAAATATGTTCAAACACCTTTACTTAACAATTACGTGTAACAGGACAATGAGAAACATTGATCTATCCCAAAGTTATTCTCAGTATGATTATCACTTTTCAGTCTAGAATATAAACTCAGTTACAAGAACATAAGTCTCTATCTTCATAAAATGAACCTATGAGAAACAGAATTTTTTGAGTCGCTTATAAATTTATGCCAACTTATCTAAAACACGCTTAGTTGTTGGTCATCGGACAAATACTGCACTTTAACACAGAATCTTTTAAATTTAAGTAGTAGGATAGGCAAATGTATACATAGTAAAATAACTAATATAAAGCTTATATGAGAACTCCATTGTCAAATGAAGGTAGTAAAATATTCCTGTTTTCATAAAATCATTGGATATCTAATTTCCATTCAATTAGGTAACGTTCATAGAAACATTATTTTAGGAATAATGACTGAATGATTGACTTACCTGAGAATATTTACAGTGATAGGATGAATAATAATCACTTGCTGGAGAACTAGTGTCGAATTTCCATTGTTTGTGTTACGTGATTCAAATGACTATTCCGAAACCTGTGACAAAAGTGTGAAGAAAGAAAGAAATTATTTTGACACACGACGCCTGAATGAAATATACCGGTGATAAGTAAAGGTTACCACATAAAGTTAGACTTTGGAGTACACTATCAATCATTAAACTGTTGGCTTAAGGTTTAAATAGCCAATTTCAAACAAACTGGTCATCGGTACAACTACAGTCCCGGTTAATTGAATTGGATCGTCTACGATAATATGGAAGCTTACAGTTAAATTCACGACAATACACGTCAAATTACTTTAGATTTTACTTGATGAATAAAATACTAATCTATAGACGGAAGGGAAAAACAAATTTGATTCACTATAAGATCTACATCAACTGAAAACTAAACAAACAGGAAATTCGGCATTAATTGCTTATCCTATAATTTTGTAGCCCACCAATAACGGACTTGGTATTTTCAAGTGGAGGATGGTGAAGGGACTACCTTCAATTTATAGATCATATAAAACTGTCGAGTCTACTACTACTATTACTTACTAACAGCTGTCACCCCTCATGGAGCGTCGGCTGCAAAACAATATTCTCCAACCTACTCAGTCCTAGGCGCTCCTTCCCGGTTCTTCCTAATTGCTATTCATCCTTCGCATGTCTGTCTCAAGCTATCGAATCACTCTGTCATTTGGTCTACCTCATTTCTTTTGGCCCTAAGGGTTTCAAGTTAGGGCTTGCCTTGTGATACAGTTAGGTTATTTCTGCAATTTGTGTCTTATCCATCTCCAACGCTTTCCTCATTTCTCCACTAGTTGCAATCTGCCTGGATCAATCATTACCAGTGATGAAGAGGTCAGTCTGGTCAATATTACTGGAGTAGCAGACCGACTAAACTGCTCCTAGTTTGGTTTGATATCTGGTTTTAATAGAAGCTGTAGCTGAATCGGGCTAATGTATCTCTTAGCCACTGAAACGTGCGTTAAAAATGCTGTAAATCAGAACATTACCAGAATCCGAACAGGTCAGTCAGTTAGCAGCAACGTAGAAATTAGTTTCGTACATCATTTCAAGTCGGCATACTACATTAGCACACAGATAGAATTATCAGTCCAAATCTCAAAGTAGTAGAGGTAGTAAAATTATCAGCAGTAATCAAAAAGATTAGTATTCGAGCTTATTCGAGGGGTATAATTCCAGCGGAATCAATTTAAAAAAACGAGAAAAATAAAGTATAGATGCATCTGTGATATTGCAAACAATTTTAAGCCATGCCATACAAAGTCTCTAATCATCGGTTACTATCTTCTAGTAGACCCCACCCGGGTAGTCTACACCTACCGACATGGCTCAGTCCAGTTGTCAGGAGCTTCATGGATTTGTGCCACGTTTTGGTTTGGCCGCCCCTAACTTTCTTCCAACCTGCCCCTACATGAGACAATATCGCTAGTCCAAACATGTACTGCAAAAGAAGCTACAGTCGTGTATAACCACACCAGCAGTAGCTGATCGCAGTGTGATTAATCTGAGTTCAGGTTTGAGTTGCAGGGAAAAACTCTAAGTAGCATATCGACGATAATTGTACCGAACGTTGATGTCGGCGAGAAAGAGGTTATTGTCTACACTAATCTACCGAATGTATTTAAAGTTATGTGACTTGCAATCACAGACTCCACTGGTCTTTCAAACGATTATCCTCTAAACACGGAAGCCTAACCTGCTTATTTATGTCTTTGACAGGAACTATAATACTTATCAAACGCAATTTCTTGAGGTTATTTAACTAGTCGATTTCAACCCGAATGAAATCTGTCCGGGCGTGAGTGAACATTACGAAAATACATCATCTCTTACACATTTATTTTCTTATTGGTGGAGTCTTCTAACTTAGCATGACATAAATAATTTTTGATGGGAATCTGACCGATTGGTACTTAAACTGGAATGGAGCTTAATGCGACAACAACGCCAGCAAAAACGAATGAAGATGCCACATCCTCTTCGTATAAACGAACGTGAAACAAGCTTTTTGACTCAACAAGTTCACTTACTAAGTGGAAGGTGGCACTGGCGGTTAGAATGATACCACTATCACAGTACCACCATTATATTAGCTTTCAAATGATGTAGGCGAAAAAACACCAAATTATCTTATACATCAATCCTAGGACATGTTTTGAAATCTTGTTTGTGATCGAATTCCTTCAATGCTCAATATTTATCTTATTCCTATTATCACTTATCCTCCGATATATTGTTATATGTCTTGAAAATCAAACAAGGTCTCCCGGATAGGGTTCCGGTAGAAAGTCATTCATACACTCAAGTTAAACAGGACGGCAAGAACCCGGAGGAATGGGAGCATACTTGACGCATCTTTTAAGTCACTTCCTACGATCCTGCTTACAGCGGTTCGGATGGGTAAAAGATTTTGTACATAAAGCTTTATGAATCCTTTCAGAAAGCCAAGCTTTCAAACGTAGTAATCGTACTAGATGGCTTTAATTAATAAGTAGGTAATCTAGACTAAACTAAAAGAAATGGGTCTCTGGGTGCCTCCAGCTAAATAGACATGTGACTGTTTGCTGTAGCTATTTTCATACAACTAATTACTTCTAGCAATTACTGACTCTGAGCGCAAGGACAAACAATATCCGATGAGGCGACCCCTAAAACAAACCAAACAATGCGTGAAAACAAATTGGTTTGCTCATGTATTAAGCACGGATTTTATGTACTTAGTTTTGGGCTAAGAATATGGTCTCGGTCGTTCGAACAGTAAAATGCAGTATATGGTTCGATCTTGCGACCTACCAATTGAAAACTAAGTACTTTGTCACTAAGCCGCTGCAAATGAACTTAAGATTGCCAACAGCCATAGTTGAAGGGCCAATGAGGGAAATGTCACTAGTAGGATATTTCTTCTTCAGAAACTCCAACATGCTTCACTCAACATTTGATTTATTGTTACTCAAAGATCCCTTGGTGTAACTCAACTAGGCTTCGGAGCTTTATGAAATCAAGATTTAGCAGGACCAGTATATCTAGATGAAACTAACATAAAACGTGTTATGCAGTAAAAACAGATAAGGTAGGTCCATTGTCGACTTAGACAGATATTTGATTTTGATTAATTTTGTCTCGCGTGCTGTTACGGGTATGAGGGCGGTTGTCACTTCCCGGCTGCCCACACCATGGGAGGTCGTTTCTTGAGAGACATGAAAAAGAAGGTAGATTAGTGTTGGTCTTAGAGACCTAGGAGCATGACCGCAGTGCCCAAGGGACAACTGCTTGAGGCCGGTCACGCATGGCCTTTTTATGAAAGGATTTTTGAGTATTAGCTCTGTTCTTAAAAGCCCTCAGTGGGCACCCTTACCCAAGGAGACGGAAATCCGTGAGGTAGGGTGAGGTATGACATTTTCAGGGTCGACCTTTTCTAACCCTTCCTTCGTTGTGAGAAGGCAGCATCGCTGCAGATACTGGTTGTCATAGGGAAACACCTTACTGCTGTCACACCACTCTGCAGTCAGCAGTAAGACTTCGTCCTCAGGTCTTGGGTAGCTGCGTTTAGTCTCATCGTTCTCCAATCGACTTGCCTGGCATGGTAGAACCTTCAGGAACATAAGTTCCGGCCAAAATAGCTCGGTTGGGTCATCGCGATAGGCAAGCCCGACCACCGCGTCAAGGCAGCAGCTTCGGTCAGGTACTAGACTTGATCTTGCGTAAACTGCTGGAAGGTTTGGACTACCTTTCTGAAACCTTACATACGTTTCCTCTGTAAATTATAAGATAGACGGTGTACAGCTAGATATAGCAGTTGCATGGGAACTATACGATGGGTCTAGTCACATGAGGTCCATGAAGCATTACAATGGCCAACTAGGTCTATCTTAGTTTTTCACATAGTAATGTCACTAAATAGCAAGATCATGTGCATACAAAACGCCAAATAGTTTGAGTGATCAGTCCTGTATATACAGACCGTCTACTTCACTAGGGCCAGCGAGACAAACTCCGTGTCTTATACTAAACTTTTTCACTTCTACAGAAAAGAGTGAAGGATCTTATATGAGCACTTTCTATTTTATTTTATAGATTGCAAAAGTTATAAGGCGAGGTACTAACAAAGGACAATTTGGGAAGCCCAAATGAATCAAATAGTTAGTTTGCCCGACTAATAGAGTGGTTGAAAACGGAGACCAATTGATCGAAAAAGAAATAGCTCTGTAAATGAAAGCTTATGACTAAAAACTAAAATTTAGGGAAAAATTAATTAATTAGGATTCACCAACTAGTTTCTCAAGCTCACAAGAGCTGGAATAATGCATCTACAGAAAGTATATTAGTTATATTAAGCGAAATGTTTTAATTTTGAGTACTTTTGGAATTAGTCATAACTATAGAGATTTACCGCTGTCACATGATATTTGACGTAGACCATAATTCGTTACAGTAACTTTAATTGCTCTAGGTATGCAAGCTAAGCTAATTACGCCTATTAGTTTTATTATCTATCAACCGGTGTGATAATAATAATATACCCGAATTTCGCACCACTTTTTATTTTTAGAATGTACTTCGTCAAGATCATAACGTTATCGTGGCTTGTGAATAAGTTCCTACACATTTCCATGACATTGATGAGAGTTGTCTGCAAAAACGGAGTGAAATATTGACGTAACATGCAGCATCTGACAGAAATTTTCAATGCACTGGCTGCTTAAACATGAATTAGATTATTTGTGTCAGGTTTTTAAGAAACCCTGTTAGAGCAGACTTTAAAGCTTATTTATCCCGAGAACCATACAATCCTATCGACACTGATAATTTGAAGAATCATTCTGAGCTTCCAAATACAGATGTTCTGTAATGACCAGATGCAGCTGAAATATCTGAAGATACAATTTAAAAAGAAATCCTAAAACTTAAAAAAAACAAACATCTCTTCATTTATAAATCCAGGTTTTCACATACGGAAACCCGGGGCTGTAAAATTCTGACCAAAACTTGTGATGAAAGATAGTTTAGTTAGACTAACTTGATAAACTATCCGATTCGAAAAAATTTTTATAGTAAAGGCATAGCAACGCATACAGTTAGGCGTCGCGCATGTTTTTAGGCATTCAATAGCCCAATGACCATGAGCTAGTTACCAGGGTGAACTAATTGTGTAAGTTGACAGTTATAGATAAATTTGTATATACTATGATTTGAAAGAGGTAATTTTCTTCAGGATACCAACAGCTACAACTTTACCAGGCCCGAGATCAGTTGGATGCTATGTGGATAATAATGAGGAGAAAATTTCCAATGAGATATCAGGACTAAGTAAATAAATTATTGATTAATTTAATTAATTGGTAGTAAATATTATGTGAAATAGCAGAATCAGAGATAATTAGTGGGTAAGATTGTCATTGATCTGAGGAAACAGCGGTAATAACAACTAGCATATTCGGAGATATAACTCAGGCACAGCTGGTCCAAGAAGTAGATGGTACTCCGCGTTTGAGCTAGTGTTTATCAATTATCTTCTCAAAGTTACCTACTATGGGGGATTTGGTCATCTCGGCTAGAAGAGCATTCGAAGTTGCAACAATTCTTAGGGAGAAATAGTGTGTATGAAACTAAATGTTTGCTCTTTGATGTGCAATTTTCTCGAGGATTACCCCGAGGGGAGTGGTGATGATGCTTCAGCAAGATGCTCATGGTGGGATGATTTGGCGCACTTAAACGATGTATGCCATTAATGGATGACTTCTGAAGCTCCTGTAGTTCAGAGGGAAAAATCCCGTGTTGGGGTTTATCTTTGAAAGTTTCGTTCTTAAGCATTGACACATATTTAGTCGCCCTCCTCTGCACTTGATCTGAGAGATATGCATCTCTTTTGAGGAGAGGGGTTGTGACGACATAGTGAACCTGATGATGATACGCATTTCACGTAACGCAACGACTACATTGCAAATATATCTTCAAACTCCTTCATTCATGATTTCCAAGAACCTCAATTGTAAAGCTGCTATAGACAGCAAGGTCATCAACCTAGATATTGCATTGTTAAACATTCATCTAACTGAAAAAGTTTTTAAAGTAAGTGTGTTATCATTTTTAACTCATTGATCTAAGCCAAATATTAAAGTTCACAATCAATCAAATACAACATACAGCGCTATAAAGCTTAATAAACACATCGATCACAAACAAGATTTGAATGTATAAATGATGAGCCACCCTGTAGATGTAGATGTGTCTATAGACTCTTAATCTTCATGCTGGTTGCTTGAACAGTAAGTAACATCAATGAGCCAAACCACAACATAAAACCGGCTAAATTTAATCACCGAAAGGCTAGTCTTCCGAAATATATTTCACGAGATGACTCGAATAGACTTGAATTCACCTCACAAAACACGTCCAAAACACCAAGACATTCTACAGCTATAACAAGAAACACTAAACCTTGAGTCTAAAATAAAGAAATGTGTGGGATTCAGATAAACAGTTCCACGTAACTATTGACTACCATGAAGAGGTTCACTACTCAGGAAACAGCCTTTGACGGTGTGGGTAGACGGAAAGTTACAACCGCCCTCATACCCGTAAAAACAAACAAGACCAAATCAGCCATGAATAACCCTTCTCACCTTCCACAATCACTTCGCGCCGTTGATGCAAAAAGTTTCTAGTAAACAAAACCTTATTCCTGGTCTCCCTGAAACCCCGTTAAACTACATTTTGCAGCTTTCAATGTTGAAAACGTGTGTTAAAATAGGGCAGCGGGCTATATTAGCTATATTCCTGGGATCCCGTGCAACCAATGTATGTTTCGGCTCCAAAACGAACATGCAAGATCCGAGTGAAAACATCAATTTGATTTCTCCATGTGCAGAAACAGCAAGGTTATTGCTTCTGAAAGCCGTGGTGCTGCTGGTGTAGGTATAGTGTTAAGTCCTAGGGCAGAACTAACTCTATTAGAATGGATCCTAGTACATAATCGGTTTCGCGCTGTCCGGCTAATCGGGACGGTTGCGACTCATAAAGATAGGGAAACTCGCCGTTGCCTCTTTGTCGTATCTTCCTACGCTCCCACTGACTGCTGTTTGGAGGCTATAAAAGATGAGTTTCACAGAATCCTTTCTAACCCTCGTCAAAATGTTCAGCGCCCTGATATAGTAATAATGGCTTGTGACTTTAATGCTCAAGTAGATAGACTAGATGTGAAGGAAAGACAACTGAGTTGTGGTAGTGTCGCCGCTGAATGAACATATAATTGCGACCATCTGCTGCAACAATGCTCAGATAATCTCCCATATCTAGCAAACACAAACTTTAAGCGAAAGGTAAAACATCTCATGTCCTGGAGACCCTCAAAGCCAACCTAACTTGACCACACTGCTATCAGCTACTAGTGCAGGGGATCCAACGATGATTGACGCTCGTTCTGCGGCACATGTTTATATTTAAAAAACTGCTCTTGTGCGAGCTCACATATATTTGCGGCTTACCAGACATAGGAAAGACACTGAAAGGAAACCTCTTAGTGTCCTGTTCCGTGATATCATAGCTAATAACATATTTTAGGAACGAATAGAAAGAGTTAGGCGGCCATGTAAATGATGCCCATCTCACGACGGCTTGGGAATTATATCCAAAACGCTGTAAAAACAGCAGTGATATCTACCATTAAGGTAAAGAAACGGTGGTTTTGAGAAGGCTTTTGGAAATTTAAAGCGAGGAAGAGCAGAGCGTCTTGATAGACTTTACCATGAGATTTTTAAGGACGGTGTCCAGTTTTAGCAATGAAATTGACTGGGGTATTATGGAGAATATGAGAACTGAACATAATCCCATTTGACTGGTCTCAGTCAGTGATTGTCCCAGTCTACAAAAAGAAGAAATGTCCTCTTGTGACAATCATAGAGGAATTAGTTTAATTAATATAGTCTCGAAAACATTGGCCTCAATAATACTCGTGAAGAGCAGACACGGAAAAAGCAGTCTAGCTTCAGACCTAGGCATCACTGTATAGGCCACATTTTCATATTACGACAGGTCCTCAAACACAGACACACATTTAGATGTCCGACGATTGTTGTCTTCCTTGATCTTAAAGCGATATTCGGCTTTGTTAATCGTGAGGTCCAGATGCAGGGTCTACTATTAAAGGTGTACCGGAGATGTACATTGTTGAGGCTCTCTACTCGAAAACCACAGATCGAGTGGGAGCTTATGGCGAGCTGTCATCGGAATTCTTTATTTCAAGTGGAGTCCATCAGTGTGCTCCGCTCTCTCCGTTCTTGTTTAACTTTGTTATTGATATGCTTTTAGGAACAGCTATTTCGTCGTTTGACGTGTCCATGGTTTAACGTTTGCCCGGAATTTTACTGGTTGACTTAGAATATACCAGTGACAAATTTATATTCGGTGAAGACTCTGACAAAATGCCAATTCTCCTGACAACCTTGGGCGACATAGCAAGCATGTTCGGAAGGCGATTCTCCCCCATTGAAATGAGAAACGTTGCTTCAGGGTTGGTTTGCATCAGTTTTTGAACTAGTGATAGGGAGTGATGTAATTGAGTGTGTTGATTGTTTCATTCATCTTGGTAATCTCATTAGTGCTGAAGTCCCGGTGTGTGGAGAAATCACAGCACGGACAGAGTAGGCTCGATTGGCTTTTGCCAACTTGCGTCATCTATGGCGTAGGCGAGATATTCTTCAGCTATCCAAAGGAGCAGCAGTTCGCAGTTAGTTAGATGGATTCATTTTTTATCCACTTTTACAGTATCATCTTCTGAATTCCTCTTCACCTCTTCATCTTTCTCTTCATATGTTTATTTCTCTCGATTCAACCTCTTGAATAATATCCTTGAACCGTAATCTTTACGATTATTATTAATGGTTCTAATAACTCAACTACTAGCGGATTTGAATTGACAATAACCCCTCTGTGCTAATGTGGTATCGCAACTTAAACTTTTGTATGCACGTACGAAGTTCTACTGACTCACTGACAAAATATTATGTAACATCACGCTTAAATACGAACCGTGACCCTGCTTGCAGACACTACGAACAGCAAAATACAATCATATTAATAATAATAATAATTGTAATTTATTCTCGAATCACATTTTACAAGTGGCATGCCAATTTACAGGCTAACATATTTCATTTAAAAGGTTGTTTAGTTATTTTAATACTTCAAAAGATACACTGATTATTTATTGAGGTTTTAAAAGTTTTCACATAGAATTATAGATGATATTTAAGACTCTGCTATGTAATATACTGTAGTTGGCGCTAGTTACGACGTACGCGTTACGACATGCACTGGTTGTTGGTACTCGATGCAAAGTAAATCCAGGTCTGCATATAACAAGAATTCATGATGTGAATGTACAAAGATCTGCTTTTTTTTATTTGTCACGTAATAAATATACATGCTACTGAGTAATGTAATCAAGTTCTCGGCAATGATTCAGTCAACTTTTCCCTGAGAATGATGAGTTGCTGAAAAAGAGAAATAAAGACAAAGAGGCAAGGAGCATCGCGTTGAATTTTCTTTGTGATACGAAAGAAATTTCTCAACTATTTCCCGGAATAATACCGAATCCCAAGACGACTTTGCGGTCCACGCAATATTTAGACTAACCCTATAAATTATTAACAGACCATCAATATATTGCATCCTCATTAGCTTGCATAAATTTATCACGAAATCATAGACAGATTCTCTGACTCGTACTAAAAGTAGTAGGTCCTACTACTAACATTTGAGTCTTTTTCACATTTGAAGTTGCATCATTTTTCCTCCACAAACTTACACATCAATTTTATTACTTATTTCTAGTATACAGATAAATTACAAAACCTGTGGATGCTACTCAACTATTGTTGATTACGAGAATCTCAAACTGTCCTGTATCAGTGTTAGTTCGTACTAGTTCATGTATCACCAGTTTAGTAAATTTAAATATCTCTAAAATATTAATATTGGAACATCCTACTTTCTTACTTATCGCCTTATGGATTTTTATTCATATTCTTTCCTCGGGTACCTATCCTTCCCATTACAGAACCACTTATTAACTGGAATAAATCTTATAACTCATGCCACTAGTTGACCTAATATCAGTGTGATATGTTAGATGGACATATAATCCACTATACATAAGCTAAGGTCATATGGTTTGCTTCTAAGATAGAGCTAGTAGAGATGTGCATAGACCAGAGCATAGACCAAAAAATTAACGGAAACTTACCACAAAAGTTAAAGTCTAACATCAAAACAGGAGGTGGAATGATGAATCTGACAAGTAAATATGACGGTGGGGCGATCAGTCACACATCAACAACCTGGAGCTTTGTACGTACGTACATCAATTCTGGTTTCCATGCCACATTAACACGCAGAGATGGAGTTGCCAATGCAAGTCCCTTAGTAGTAAAGGTAGTAGAAATAGAGATTAGATATCGAGGGTATGATACAAGAAGCTTCATGGATTTGTGCCATGTTGTGGTCTGGCCGCTTCTAGCTTACGTCCAGCCTATTCCTACACCGCAAAGTATAGCTCGTCGACTCAGTCGGTGGTTGGGGATACGTAACACATATCCCAACCACCTCAACTGATGAAGTTACATTACTTCATCTATTGATCTGCCGTCCCTACCTGGTAATCGTTTCCTAACGACAGCACTGCTTACTCGGTTGCCCCAAGGATATAGTAGCACGGAGCAAACTGCTGCTCAGTACACTCGTCTTTTGGTTAGCAGACATATTTCGCCTACACCATAGATGACGCAAGTTGGCAAAAGCCAATCGAGCCTACTCTATCCGTGCTGTGATTTTGCCACACACCGGGCCTTCAGCACTAATGAGATTACCAAGATGAATGAAACAGTCAACACACTCAATTACATCACTCCCTATCACTAGTTCAAAAACTGATGCAACCCAATCCTGAAGCAACGTTCCTCATTTCGAGAGGAAGGATCGGATCCGGAACATACTTGTATCGCTTTTCAGAGTGGTCGAAGGACTGCATTTTATCAGCGTCTTCACCGAATATAACTCTGTCATCGGCATATCCTAAGTGGACAGGTGGATCTCCTGGTAAACGTTCAACTCCTTAAAAGTCGGACGACGAAAGTGTGGTCTGTAAAAGCATGTCTATGACAGAGTTGAATAAGAGTTGAGATAGTAGACAACCTTGACGAACACCACTTGGAGTAATCAGTGCCAATAACAGATCGCCATAAGCTCTGACTCGATCGGTAGTGTTCGAGTAGAGAGCCTATGTACTGTCAATTGACTTTTTTGGTACTCTTTCCACTGACTGACACTTCCACGGAACCTTACGTTCAACAGAGTCAAATTCCGCTTTACTGTCGAAGAATACAACAATTGTAGGACGTCTAATCATCTGTCAATGCTTTAGGACCTGACGAAGTGTGAATATCTGGTCTGTACAGCCAGTTCCATATCTGAAACCAGACTGGTTTTCTCGAGTTCGCTCCTCAAGAGCCCTAGATAGGCGTCGAGGTATTTTTGGAGCTTATGTTTTAGTGTCATTGTTTAGACTATACACTTTTAGATACTCCAGGCTAGCGCTTAGATTTATTTCTGAGACTCCTTTCAATTACTGATTTGATGTATGATATTAAAATATTCGTAACCTACCTCACAATTTTTTCTTTCAGATGCTTCAGAATTGGCTTCATCTCATTATATCTGGTCGTGCATAACACCCGATAGTTGTTTTTGTGCATGTTCCGTGTTCCGAAATTTGTGTTTAGTTATCAGTAAGGTAGCAGTTTAAAAGATAATCATTCTTCTTAGGATATTTTTATTCCATATGCATGAACACTTGTGTCCTTTCAGTTCACTTCGCCAGCTTCCTGTTATAGCAATCTGTGGGGCCACCGGGACTGGCAAATCAAAATTAGCAATATGTCTCGCTAATGTTTTTGGAGGTGAAGTTATAAATTTCGATGCCCTTCAATTGTATAGTGGCATAGATATCGCAACAAACAAAGTGAGTTAATATTTTGTTAATGTAATTTTGTTTAGAATTTCAGGGAAAGTAGAAAAAAAGCCGAAAGTTTATTCACTGTTAACATAGTATGTGTTGTATCTTGAAGTAGTCTCCTGATTTAATGGTGGCTCAGTAGTTCAGGTGTTACTACCACTCATTTATACATTCATAAATGATGGGGTTATGTGGGATCATACTATATGCTGTGATTTTGTATTGGGGATTTTAATGCGGTGATTAAATTCATAATCTACTTAAACTATCCAGTGCCCATGTAATTTTCCTGTAGATGAATGAAAGTTTTTAATTTAATATTTTGAAAGTATGTATACAATGCGTGTAATGTTTAACCAGTAGTTTCAGCATTATGCTTTTGAATAAAGTCGCATGTTCGAATTCAACTTTACTGATTTGCCTCAGACCACTGAGTGGTATCCTTCATCACTAAACAAGAAACATGCCTCCAACAGTAGTATACAATCATACAATTAATTACTGAGTTTACCAATTGCAGAGTTAGCAGTCACATGTTGACAGTATGTGGCAGTGATCACTTCATGTTTAATCACTTATTAGTTTCTCTAATTACAGAAATGTGTCGTAGATATTTAAATCCATTCGGAGTCGTTCCAGGGTTAATGCCGATCGCAAGCCCCGATAATGGGGAGAGGTTGGACGTGAGGTTAGCAACCGCATGCCGTACAAAATAACCATGCTAAAAAACGCCAACCGGGTTCCTACTACAACTCCAAAACTATTTTTATCTATGGCACTTAAGACGAAACGGTAGTTGAATTCAGTTGTCAGTGTACAATATTCATTTGATATTAACACAGTTCGATTTTATGTTGAGTTAGAATGATCATTGTTAACGAAGTAACCAACTAAATAAACACTTTGTTCGAGACTCTAGATTCATGTTTAGATACGTGTTCTAAAAATATTTGTATTAATGAGATATTTAGTTAGATTTGGACACTATTTTGTGTTTCCAAAAGCCGAATCTAATATCAGTAGGAGATTTAGTACTTAGTATCAAATTACCATTCAAATTTTATTTCCACTCTAGGAAATTAAATATTTCTTAGAAGACTGAAAGAATGACGTTATTTATTAAGTTTACTTACTTAATTTTCATTCCAGATATCACGTGATGAGTGCTTAGGTATCCCACACCATCTTATAGGAATCTATCCTCCGGAATGCGGACACAAATATGATGTTCATTCATATCGAGACATTTGTTTACCATTGATTGATAATATAAGAAATATCAAGAAAAAGTTACCTATTCTTGTTGGTGGAACTCATTATTATTTGGAAGCCATTTTATGGCAAGACTTTTTAGCTTCAAAACATACTAATTTGGATGCAACAGATGAACTTGATAGGTATCGTAATCTGTTAATAACACTGGTAACTATATTCATAATTTTTTTTACATTTAGTATTTATTTATTATTACTGGATATTATTGATTACTTTTTTTCACTTATTTTTATATAATAGAAGGTTCAGTTTTGGAAATGACATTCGGATTAAAACGGATAGTTTTAGTCATTGACCAGTATATTTTTCTTTATGATCCTTACGTTCACTTCGGAAAAAGTTGACCAAGAGTGCTTCCTTGGTTCTAATTAAAGCTTCCATTCATGGAATACATTATGAACACGAAGTTAAAGATCTTACTGTTGTTATATAATGGGAATTAAGAAAAGTTAGCTTCAGTCTAATCACTCATGGGACCGGTAGTTGGTTAGTAACATTTCTTAGTGCGATACTGAAATATTAGTACATTAACTCTTATAGTAACAAGTTATTTTGGAATTAGAGGGTTTAGTAATTTGATGATCAGGTTTTGGATTGTTAAAATGAATTCATAGAATGGTGATCGACCTATAACTATTATGTTACAATGTTGGTAATTGATAACTGTTAACGAGGTTAGATAATTGCACCAAATCTGGTTGAATATATAGGACAAGACAGCTGTTCAGCAGAATACATTTTATAGTAAGATAATATGTTTACGAATAAGTATCAACAGAAAACTTAATGATTAATTACTACAAAGGATTAACGGGAATCAATTTTGCAGGTCACTCTTCAATACATTAAGACTTTCACCATCATATGTACGTAGTTTGTAACCAGCCGTAAGTAGTTTTGTACTTGGGATATACACTGAGCATATTTTGTTACATTTCGTTTAAATGTTTAAGTCTAATTCAATTTCGAATGGAAGTTGTGAAATAAAACTATCATACTTTTAATCCAATATTATACTAACTAGTCATTAGGATAAATGCACGTTTGAATAATAAGCAGTAAAAACTATGACTTAGTTTTAGCATAATTTTGAATTAATCCAAGTTCTTACTACAATTCAATAACCAAGTACAGATTCATGTAGTCTCTTTCAAAACATACATTTTTATATGAAAGCTAATGATACTGTTATGTTCCTTAAAGTAGCCGGAGTGGGGTTCAAACTTGAAATCTGATGATCGAAATTGAGGTGCTTTTTTTTAGTGAACTATCGCTTCATCTATCCATGTTGTCAGCGAGAGAAAAATCAAAGAGGTTAAAACAATATCAACACCATTGGAAGCGTCTAAAAGAATAAATAGAGTCAATAATAATAATAATAGTCCCATATTTAAAGTCGTAAATCTAAATGATGAACAAATGTATCTGGTTCACTTTGATCGGTTTTAGCCGCCGTATTATACAAATTCTCCATTTTAGTTTTCACATTAAGTCTTAGTTATCGTTACTTATTTGTTCTTGTTTATTGTAAATATGTATGTGTAAAGTAGCATCATTGTACATTTTTGTCAGTTTCTTACTTGAATAAGCTTTGCTAACATCATGTTTAGTTTGAAAGTTCATTCATCTAATACATTATGATTTTAAGTGAATAATCGTCATAATCTCTTTATTTAATGTTAACTGTGACTCAGTGAATAGGAGGATTATTCTATTGTTTGTCCAAATACTATTTATTATTTTGAAAGTTGATTTAATAAATTATATCCCGTCATTTCTATGTTTTTGTTGTTTCAGTGCAATATCTTTTGTGGATTCATCAGAATGTTATGATCTCTTACGTACTCTAAAACCAAATGTAGCTGCACAGTTACATCCAAATAATGTTCGTAAAGTAAAAAGAGCACTTCTCGATGCTTTGAAAACATCTATTCAGACTGAAACACAAAATGAATCAAATGAGAATATAGAAAATACAGATTTAGAAAAACAAGTTTTAAATCGATCTATTAAACCTCGATATCCTGGAGATTCACTCATATTATGGTTGGATTGTGCTTCTGATGTTTTGAATACTCAATTAAATAAGCGAGTGGATAAAATGTTGGATTCCGGGTTGGTTGATGAGTTGGACACTTTTCTTAATAAAGTGAATGTTTCGCCGCCTGTATTCAATGAGATGGAAACATTTGATGCAAATGGTAAGAATAAAGTATCTATGGATACGATTTCTTATGACTTAGTTGATAATAGTATGGACTATATCGTTGTTGATATTTTGCCTGAAATTTGATGAGTCTGGGTTGGCATACGTGGATTCCATGCAGATCACTCCAACGTGGTCAATTTGGCACAGTTTCATAGACGAACTGTGGTTAGCGATGAAATCCAGGACGCGCATTCCGTCCAATTGCGGACTCGTCAGCATGATTTACATAAATCCAAGAGTTGAAGTTTATTTTGGAGTTCGATTTATTCTATATAGGCTTATGTTAAAATAGCAATACTAAGGTGGTCCACTCGAAGTGCATATTTACCAACTAAGACTAATCGTATTTCAAACAAAATCTTGAAAACGGGTCAATGCAAACCATTATCAATCAAATTAAAATTCACACCTATTTCACAAGTGACTATCCGGATTCAATGGCTAAGTGCATAACGCGTTGGCGTATAAGGCTAAAAGGTGCTGGGTTCAAACCACAGAGTAGACGCCAACTCTAGGATGCAGGTAAATCCAGCTAATGAGTCCCAATGGGACGAAACCCACGTCCTAGGTAATAACAGTTAAATGAATGGTATCGAAGCAGCTTAGAACCAGTCGTAATGTACACTAATATGTCGAGCCCACATGGCCTATCTCAGCCCTTAGACAAACTACTTAATCCATTCTTCTGGAGTCATTGTTCACATATCTTTTGACATTGTCAATTGTTCGCTCATAACCTTCGATGTTTTTATGTGAATGTGTGCGAGCATTGCGTACTTTGCTTATCACTTGTCTAGCTTATTTTTGTCTGACTGTAAATACTCAGTCATGCTTCATGACATTGAGTTGGCCCACTCACCTCCAACACTTCACTTCACATTCTACCGTTTGTCTGCTCACGTCAATGTATGAAATAAGTCCATCCACACAAAACTGTATTGTGCTTCTAATTACCACCATTGCACAAACAGATTTAGCCGAAATGTAATAAAAGAAAATTAAATAGAGGCTTTATTTTATACAATATTCAGTAGTTCGTCTAAATGGAAGTCAGATTCAGGGCTATATAACTGTATAACTATCTCTAACCTTTTCAATTTTGAATTTTAACATTATTATGCTAATAATTGCTTTTTCCATTTTACTAAAATCAGAAAATGTCAAACAAACTCGAGTGGAAAAATTAAAGAATTTGTTTTCTGTAGAGTTGGAAACTGTGTCAGATCCTATGACCCGTCGTGGTCTACTTCAAAGTATTGGATTCAAAGAATTTTCTGACTATTTAGCCTTATTACCAGAAGAACGTGATACAGTGGAGGCAAGTATTCTTCTGAAACGAGCAGTAAACAATGTTAAGACAGCAACTCGACAGTATGCACGTCGTCAGGTGAGTACATTTCTTTTTTTGTTATTGATTGGAATATCTCTGTTGAAAAGTTACAGTTGATCATGTTTGTTATTGTTGACATGTTTGGTTCTAATTTTTATAAACTTAATAGTCTGCTCATAATACAGGCTACTTTTTTTTTACGCGGGTTTATTATTTTTGCAGATTCGTTCTTGACTTTGATTATTCACTTTTTTGTTTATCAGTAATACTATTCCCCAAAATTTAGTATACTATTAGGGCAGTTACGAAATGAATCAGTGTGCATTGTCAAATAAAAATTGCTCATTAAACATTTATAGAATTCCATATTTCATTGACTATCCTTTCATATAGATAGTTCCCTTACTCATATTGATGAGAGCGAAAATGATAATTTAAGCAAATTAAAATGAATTCGTCTTATTTCGTTTGGTTCTCCTTATCTGTTTAGAACTTGCATTATTAGAAAATGAGTTGAAGACTACTGAAGTCAGTCAGTCAGTCAGCCAGTTGCAACGTAGAACTTCGTACGTATGTACATAAGTTCATGTTGCCATACCACAGCACAGAGACGCAAATGTCAAATCGAATCCCATAGTGATAAAGATAGAAGAGGTATTAATGTTAATAAAGAAGACTAGGGTTCGAAGGTATTATTCAAGAAATATAATTCAGTGAGATAAGGTTAGAAAGACAAAGGTAGAGGTGCTGACGAATCCAGAAGATTAGGATTTGAGAGAGCTCAAAGAATGGATGCACCTGCGCCATTGCAAACGATTTTGAGCCATGTCGTTCCAGTTCTCTAACCATCGGTGACTTTCGTCTCTCGGATCCCAACCAGATAGCCTACATCTACCAACATGACTCAGTCCACTTGTCAGTGACTTCATGGATTTCTGCCATGTTTTGGTCTGGCCGCCCTTAACTTTCTTCCAACCTACTCCTAGACCACAAAACATAGCTCGTCGAGGCAGT